TATATGGGGTCAAAATCCCAGGCCCCTCCCCCACCTGTCTCAGCTTCTCTAGTCAGCCTCTAGGAGAGTTTCCTGAAGGTAGACTGCCCCAATATTGACAATGTCCATTGGAGTCTGCAAACTACAAGCCCCATTCTGCTCCTAAACTTCCCTATCCTCCCACAACCTCAGTGGAACTCTGAAATACAGTTTGCTACAATACAGAGAGGACCAACAGAGAGAACCACAAGAACCATGAGGGAGGACCAAGAGGAGGACCAAGAAAGGAACTCTAAAGCACAAGCTGTTACTGCACAGAGTAGACCAAGAGAGCAAACCAGGAAAGCAGACCAAGAGAGAGGGCTAAGAGACCTCAGTGGCTCCCTAAGACACAGAGAGTGACAGTACAGAGCAGATCGAGAACAGTTCCTAAAGACGAAAACAAACACAGCAAGGATTGGACCAAGATGCAAAGACACTGCCAGCATCAATTGAAGGAAGAGATGGGTAGGTACCAATGCAAGAATTCATTCAACAACCTAAAAAGCAACATGGTAACACAAGAACCCAGTGGTTATACAACAGGAAGACTTGATCATCTGAATCCAGAAGAAACAGAAGAAAATGATTTTAAATGTAACTTTATGAAGATGATGGAGACTTTAAAGAGGAAGTGAAAAACTCCCTTAAAACAACAGAGGAAAAGATAAAAAAATTGGAAGAATTTAATAAATCCCCCAAAGAAACAAAAAAAAAAAACATGAGAAAACAATCAAACAGGTGAAGCAAAGATTATGAGACTGAATACTGAAATAGAGGCAATAAAGAAAACACAAACCGAGGAAATTATGGATATGAAAAATCTGGGTAAATGAACAGGAACTACAGAGGCAAGCATAACTAACAGAATACAAGAGCTGGAAGAGTCAATCTCAGGTGTTGAAGATACTATAGAGGAAATTAATTCATTCATCAAAGAAAACATAAAATTCAACAAATTTTTAGCACAAAACATTCAGAAAATCTGGGACACCATGAAAAGACCAAACCTAAGAATAATAGGGATAGAAGAAGGAGAACTCCAGCTCAAAGGCACAGAAAATATAATCAACAAAAATCACAGAAGAAAACTTTTCCAACCTAAAGAAGGTTATTCCTATGAAGGTATAAGAAGCATACAGAACACTAAATAGACACTCATAGCTAAATAATAATCAAAATGTAAAACAAACAGAATAAAGAAAGAATATTAAGAGCTGCAAAGGGAAAAGGTCAAGTAACATATAAAGGTAGACCTAATAGAATTACACTGAACTTCTCAATGAAAACCATAAAACCAGAAGGTCCTGGGCAGATTGCTGCAGATGCAAGCCCAGACTACTATACCCAACAAAGGTTTCAATCACCATTGATGGAGAAAACAAGATATACCATGAAAAACCAGATTTAAACAATGTGTATTCAAAACCTAACCCTACTAGAAGGAAAACCTCAACCCAAGGAAGTTAACTGTGCCCACAAAAACACAGGCAACAGATAACCTCCCACCAGCAACCCCCCACCCAAAAAGGGAAACACACATGCACACCACTGAAAAATAACAGGAATTAATAATCACTGGTCATTAACACCTCTTAATATCAATGGACTCAATTCCAGTGGAAGGGGAAGAGGAGGAGAGGAGGGGAGGAGGAGGAGTACTTGAGAGAATGGGATAGTCGTGATGGAGGAAGGACAGAAATGAGAAGAAGGAAAGAGATATTCTGATTGAGGGAGCCATTCTGGGCTAGTAAGAAACCTAGCACTAGAGAAATTCCCAAGGATGACCCCAGCTAAGTCCCTAAGCAATAGAGGAGAGAGGGCCGATCTTAACTTGCTCTGTTATCAGACTGAATATCTTAAATATTACCATATAACCTTCATTCAGCAACTGATGAAAACAGAGTCAGAGATCCACATCAGAGCACTGTGCTGAGCTTCCAAAGTCCAGTTGAAAAGTTGGAGGAATGAGAATAAGAGCAAAGAGGTCAAGACCATGATGGGGACACCCACTGAAACAGTTTACCTGAGATAATTGGAGCTCACCAACTCCATCTGGACAGGGAAGGAACCAGCATAGGACCAAACTAGTCCCTCTGAATGTGGTTGACGGTTGCATGGCTGGGGCAGACTGAGGGTCCACTGGCAGTGGCACCAGGATTTATCCCTACTGATTCTACTGGCTTTTTGGGAACCCATTCTCTCTGGATGGATATCTTTCTCTCCCTAGATATAATAGTGAGGGCCTTGGACCTTCCCCAAAGCACTGTGACTTACCCTCTCTGTGGAGTGGATGGGTTAGGGTGGGGTATGGAGTAAGTGGAGGAAATGGGAGGAGGGGGAGGGAGTGGGAACTTGAATTGGTATGTATAATGAAAAAGGATAATTTGTTTTTTTTTTTAAATAAAATAAGAAGAGCAGGGAGGGAGAGATTAGGAGTGGACAGAGCTTGTCTCTTAAAGGGACAGGGTACTGTTTGCCATGCACACTGGCGTGACTCAGGGTGTGACACACTGTGCCAGGTTCCCAAGGGACAGGGCCCAGGTGAGCCTGAATACTAACATTGTCTCTGTCAGAGATCAGCCCTAACATAGGTGTAAAGTTTCCTCAAAAGGCCTGGGGCAGTGTATGGCAGTGGATGTCCCCACAAAGGATGTAAGGCCATAAGGGACAAGAGTCACCTTTGCCAGAAAGCTGCTTGCTCTGTGATGTCTTGTAAATCAGAGAGCAGGCCTGGAGAGATGCTCAGCAGTAAGAGCACAGGCTCTTCTTGCAGAACAACGGGATTCAGTTCTCAGCACCCACATGGAGACCCACAATGATATGGGAGTCCCCTCTGTGTGCTGTGATTATCATTAATGAATAAAGAAACTGCTTTGGAACTATAGTAAGGCAGAACTTAGGTAGCTAGGCTGAATGCTGGGAGAAAAAAGGGCAGAGTCAGAGAAAAGCCATGGAGCTGTCACCAGAGACAGATGTGCTAAGACTTTGCTGGTAAGCCACAACCACATGATGGTGCACAGATTAATGGAGATGGCTTAAATTAATATATGAGTTAGCCAATAAGAAGCTGGTCAGAAATCTTTAATAAATAAATAAAAATTAAAAAAAAGAAGCTGGGCTAATGGGCCAAGCAGTGATTTAAATAATAATGTTTCTGTGTCATTAGTTTGGTTCTGGGTAGCAAGGATGAACAAACAGCCTTCTACACCGCAACAGTCTGTTACTTCAGTTCTAGGGGATCTGAGTTTCTTTTCTGGCTTTTTGGGGCACAGAAATGAATGTGACAGACATACATGCAGGCACAACATTCATACACATATAAAAATTAATCTTTTTTAAGACAGAGAAGAAGCCTTTAAATAAACATGGACAATTTCTGCACAGGGATAAAGTTTGATGATCCCTTATTGGATGAGTCTGGCCAGTCACATAAGATAAACCCTACAGGACCCCATTCCTAGGAGACACTACTACAGAGTGTCCGTGTTCAGAGGAACAACACAGAACAGGCAAGATGAGTGCCAGGACCCCCAGTAGGGCTGGGCAATGGGGAGTCGGTGTTTAATGGACACAGTTTATAAGATGGGATGTTCTGTAGACGGATGGTGGTGATGGCTGCACCACAGCATGATTGTGCTTACTGCACTGAACATTGAAATGGTGAGCATGGTAAACTCATGTGTTGTGTGTACTGCCCTGGGAATGCGGTGAACAGCTGTAAACTCAGCTCTGTACCTCAGGAGCCAGGCAGACAATTTAAAAGTCAAATGACATGCAGTTAGTCAATGCAAAGTATAGGGCTAGGTGCTCCATTTTGGGTACAGGAAGGGACATCCTAGCTGCTCATAATTACACACACACACACACACACACACACACACACACACACCCCTCCATCTGTACCCCTTAGTCCAGAGTGGCGAGCACCATGTGAGGGCAGGTTACCTTGACAGGGCTACAACTTCCCGGACATCCAGCTCCCTGACAGGCACACTGCAAAAGGAGAACACAGGAGACAGATTTTGAGCAGGTACACAGAGACTGGAGGAAGGAGCACGGCTCCTGAGGGCACAATAGTCTGTCTGTTACAGTTAAAGAACAACATAGTGGTGACCACCCCAGGCACTATGTCAACAACATGAAATCAGGCACTGTCATCCCATAGATTCCAGTGGGTAGGGGAGAGTAATTGTTCTAAGGGCTGTCCATGTAGGTAGGAGAATGATCCTGAACCCAGAAAAGACAACAGTTTTCCCCCAAAATCACTCCATTTAAAGACAGCAGAGGGCAGTTGAGGATGCTCTGGGCAGCCTAAAGTAGGACTAGACCCATCCACGCAGAAGTACAGGCAGAGTCCACAGCATGTAGCAAAATATTCATCTAGTTACTAACCAAAACACATATACACATGTATGACGGACATACAAACATGATATATACATACATATAAACAAATATGATACACACATATTACACACACATATGATACATGCATATATGACACAGAATTCTACAAACACTCACCTAGGCACAGTTCCTTGGTGTCCCAATTCCTGACTTCTTTGGCTCAGGAACCCATAGCTGTGGGAAGGGTGTGCACAGGGGCAGCTGTTCAGGACACAGACCTGAGACTGCATGTCCCTCCCTCCAAAGTGCACCACTGTACCCACCACAGTGAGCACACAAGTTCTCAGTGGGGATGTAGGGCCACGTAACAGGACTAAGCATGCCCATCACACAGAAAAAGAGGTGGTGAGAGGAAGGACCCTGGGCACAAGACATGAATGTGAACACCTGTAACAGCTGCAGACGGCCCCCTCCCTCCATGCCAGATACCTATAGCCCAAGATCACATCTGGGACTATTTCCTGATTGCGTCTACAGAAGCCCCAGTAGACATAGCAGTGACTTTGCTCTGTGAGTGTTCTCAGACCATCTGCATCTAGAGAGAACTGCCTCGGAGCCACCAGGCCTGCCTTCCTCTCCTTCCCCAGACCCACCCACATAGCTATGGCCAAATGACAGGGCATCCAGCCCCAAGATTTTGTGAAATCAAAAGAGGTTTGCAAGAGAGGCTTCACTAAGGAGACCAAAAAAGCTTGATATGCCAATGTGTTGGAGCAAGAGCAGCATCCTCATGACCAATGTGGTAGTGGGTATGCTCGTAGCTCAGGGTCCCCTTCAGAGTCTAATGAGCTGTTCCTCACCAGCCTGGATTCTTACCCAAAGAAGACCAAGATGAACATTGTGAGGGGAAGGATTCCAAGGTGAGGCGAGTAGCATTTTTGTCTTCCTGAAAAACAGCAGCATGAGATCCAGTTACACATGCCGTTCTTAGGCCTGACACCCCCCCCCCTCCAGTCCTCTCCTGAGATTCAGAGGTCATCCTCATGACCACAACAACCACTGTGCCCTATCTCAGGCAGCCCCAATCCTTGATGAGGCTCCAGCCTGGCTGAGCACTCAGAGGGAAAGTTGTTTACTTCCTGCTCCTGACTCCAGCTGCTCCCTTGGGCCCTCAGGATCCCCTTGGGCCCACATGTCCTCAAACTACTGAGCACCCCTTCAGAAATGAACCAAAATGAATACCTTGGGGCCATTGCTGACTCCATTAGAGGAGGCTAGGGCCAGCACCCCCTCTGTCCCCTATAGGCTCCCATCCACAAGGACAGCAGTTGGCATGTGTTGACTGAGTTTTCTGTCCTGCCTGGTTCCCACAATCGTTAAGTCCCAAAGAAATCAGACAGAGTTCTACATTAACTATAAACTGATTGGCCCATTAGCTCAGGCTTCTTATTAACTCTTATAACTTATATTAACCCATTATTCTTATTATTCTATGTTAGCCACATGGCTCAGTACCTTTTCTGGCAGGATAGGTCACATCTTTCTTCTTCTGTGGCAGGCTCACAACTGCAGAAAGAGCTTCCTTCTTCCCAGAATTCTCCCGTTCTCATTGACCCTCTTCTACTTCCTGTCTGGTTGTCCCGCCTATACTTCCTGCCTGGCTACTTGCCAATCAGTATTTTTAAAACATAATTGACAGAATATTACAATTGTCCCCCACCAGGCCTGTTCTAGGACTTTTTCTCACGCTGGGGTTGAAACCTAGGGCTCATGAATATTGGGTAAGTGTTTCACCACTGACCTATGTCCCTAATACCTCAGATGACTGTCACGTCTCTAGAGGTTATGTATTCTCATAATCAAGTTCAAATAGACCTAAAAGACATAGATCTAAATAGACTCAGGTCTGGGCTCTGGAGAAGAGCTCAGTGGGGAAAGTTTTTGTCACAGCCACACAAGCCTAGGGACCTCAGTTCAGATCCCCAGACATCTGGAATCCCAGCACTCCTGGGATGAGATGGGAGGGGGTGGGAGACTCCGGAAGCTCACAGCCAGCTAGGCTGCACACAGTAAGAAACAACAAAGAATCCCTGTCTCAAACAAGGTGAAAGGCAAGGACCATCACTCCCCATGGCTGTCCTCTGACACAGGCACACCCGCACACATATGGTGTGGTTTTAGAGGTTTATGTCTAAAATGCCTTAGTCTCCCTGTCCCAGCCGGTTACTTTCCCCTTTAAACCACCTGATCTGATACTTTGTTTCTTATTTTATTTGTTTATTTAGTTGCATGTGTGTGCACCTGTGGGTGCCTCAGAGCACTAATGGAGGTCAGAGGGCAACTTGCAAAGGTTGGTTCTCTTTCCACACTGTGAGTTCTAGGGATTGAACTCAGGTCAAGTTTGTCTTCCAGCACCTTTACCCACTGAGCCATCCCATTTGTCACTTCTTATGCTTCCTCTCCACATCTCCACATCCTCCCACAATGGAACAGCTAAGATCCAAAAGCTTCTAGAAACAAACAAAGAAAAATGGACATGCGAACTTTCTTTGTCCTCATTATATTCCCCTCCATGTTTTGGTGGTCACAGGTTATAGAGGAATCTAACTGAAGGTAACATTTCCCCAATCTTTAAATAGTTGCTACTTTTTAACTTTTAAAAATAACTCCTTTGGGGATGAAGAGATGACTCACCACATTAAGAGCACTTGGCATCTCACAACCATTATTAACTCCAGTTTCAGGGAACCCAATAAGGTGTCTGGCCTTTTAAGGCACCGAAGCATACCATTGGTGCACAGAAATACATGCAGAAGAATGTTCATGTATACAAATATAAACTTTTTTTTTTTTAAAAAAAAGCAAATGCCTGGTGTATTAAAAAGGAAAGAACAAGGTTTTTAAAGGCAAAAGCAAGAAATAGTGTGTATACTTTTTTGTTCCTTTCTTGTCTGGTTGAGTATTTTTTTTGTTGATCTTGCTGTTGTTTTGGGGGTGTCTGTTCGTTTGTTTTGAGACAGGGTTTTTTTTTTCCATGTAGCTCTAGCTGTCCTAGAACTCAGTCTGTAAACCAGACTGGGCTTGAACTCAGAGATCCACTTGCCTCCTGCTCTGAGTGCTGGAATTAAAGGCATGTGCCACCAATGCCACCAATCTAACTAAATAATCTAATTTAAGTCTAACAAAATATGCCCATTTAATCCAATATGGTCTCTGATCTTTTAAGGCACCAAGGATACAATTGGTGCACAGAAATACATGCAGACAGAATGCTCATGTACATAAATATAAACAATTTTATATTTAAGATATTATTTGATGCTCTTTGAACAAGGAACTCCCTTGCTGTGTATGCCCCCCACACTCCCCTCCTCATCTATATATGAATCTAGAGACCCATCTGCCCTCTTGGCTGGATGTTTACAGAACACAATGCTGTCACTACTCACCACAGGATCGTGTGAGATCTTGTCATTGTTTTTATTGCTTTTTAAAAAATATCCCCAACAGTTCCAACCTTTTAAGGAATTACATTATTCCTTTCACATCATTCTAGCAGTCATCAAACACTACATGGTGGGAGCTGGAGAGGTTGCTCAGGGATTAAGCACACTTGCTGCACTATCATGGGGGCCTGAGCTGGGATCCCGGTAAGCATGTAAAACAAGAATTCCTGGAAGAAGACCTGTAACCAGGTAATACACACTTTAGGTATGTGTGTGTGTGTGTGTGTGTGTGTGTGTGTGTGTGTGTGTATGTGTGTGTGTAAATTGAAGAAATAAAAAAAGGGATATGTGGTAATTTGAATGTAATTGGCCCCATACTCTCATAGGGAGAGGCACTATTAGAAGGTCTGGCTTTGTTGGAGGAAGTGCGTCACTATGGAGGTGGGCTTTGAGGTCTCACATATGCTTCTGCCACACCCAGTGTCTCAGACCACTTCCTGTTGCCTGTGGGTCAAGATGTACAACACTCAGCTGCCTTTCCAGCACCATGTCTGCCTGCAAGTCACCATGTCACTCCATGATGCTGTGAAGAGATCCCATGACCACGCAGCCCTTATAATAACTCAACCTCTTAGAATTAATTCTCCCCAATTTAATATATTTCTATTATAAGTGCTGCTGTGGTCATGGTATCTCTTCACAGCAATAGAAACCCTAAGACACGAGATAGTAACATCTTTAAAAGATAAAAAGAAATAGTTCACCAGGCATTTTACCAAAGAAATACAAGCTGCTCAAAATTTCTTGTTCTGAGAAGAGCACAAGTTAAAACCACAGTAACCGCTGGGTTTTTGTGAGTCACAGACTAGCCAGGACTTGCTGCTGTTTGTTCTGCTTCGGTATCACCAACCATCAATCTCTACTTCTACATGGAATGAAGAGATGCTAAGTATGACCTGCCGGGTTCTGACAAGCAGGTCACCCTAAGGCATGATCGCTTCTGTGATGTTCATTAGGTCTTGTCAAGCACTGGGGAGACCCACAGAAAAGAGGAAGATCCAGCATGCAGGTACTTTCCAGAATTCCTGGTTGATCAGTCCTCCAAGAGCTAGTACTTTCTAAAAACCCACCCATCAACCATGCTCAACCAACTCACCAACCACCATTGTGTCTAAACTCCAGGCTTTCTTCATCTGGTGGGGGCCCTCTCTACCTCCCAGCACTCTTCACCAAATTCTGGGGCTGTGCCTCCCCTGCACTGGCTCTTCTCCTGACACACTGGTTCTCAAACTTGCACATATCAGGCCTCTCATTTATTATATGGAGATCATACTTCCAAGCTTACCTCCCTTTTCCTGCTCACTGTGGCAGGCATTCTTCTGGTATCTTGGAGGATGATAACTACCAGTGTTCAACAAATTTCACTAAGTAGATGAATAGAGATTAAACAAGACGGGTAGCCCAAGAACAGGCACTAATTTGCCAAGTTCCTCAAAAACCCTGAACGTTTTTAATCTTCAAGACATCTGTCTCAGGTCCAGGCATGGACGAGATCCTGAACTGGGGCCTCAAGTTTATGGACACCCACTTAAGAGTGGTCCTCTGAGGGTCCCAGAACAAGTAAAATGAGTAGTCTCTGACCTGAGGAAACAGTGCAGCTCACGGGCAGAAGGAAATGAGGAACCGGTTTTCTTATCTTGGCTTAAGACTGCGTCACAGGTGTCAAAAGTTATCATATTGTATACAGTGTATGTTTTACTATATAAGAGCTGTTAATGTTTATTGGGAAGATATAGATTACAAAAGAAGGACAGTGGAGGTAAACAGATAAAGCACAGAGAACAGCCCAGGAATGCATTCCCAAAGACAGAAGCAGAGATTGCAGTACAGCAACTCAACTCCATTCCCTCTGTGTCTCTCCAAACTTATCTTTCCACAGCAAAAAAGAGAGAAATTTACCCCTTCCCATTCCAAGGACGCACTCAGAGACCAGTGAGCCTAAACAGAGCCTGGCTGAACAAACACCAACACTGAGGTGGTTGGAATCACCAGGAATGACTGGCCCCATATTATACATATCATATTTTTTTTAACCTAAACTTTGCCCTAAGAGGCTTCATCAACTACCCAGCACCACCCACTCAGCCCAGAATGATAAATGATGTATCCCTGGGAATGAAAAGTGAGTCACCCTATGAGGTTATGGGTTTGAGTTGAGACTGTAGGTGCATATGGGCATATTAAAAATCAAGCTTGAGTGATCTCTATGAGTCCAGTCCCCTGAGCCAGCGATGTCTGCGGGAGCAGGCCAGAGTGAGTGACCTCTGCAGTAGGAGACCTGAGACAGCAATGTCTGTGGAACCAGGCCCAGATCAGCAACCTCCTTGGGAACAGGCCCAAGCCAGTGACCTCAGCCAGAGCAGACCCAAGCCAGCGACCTCCACAGGACCTGGTCCAGGTCAGTCACTTCTGTAGGAGCAGGTTCGAGGCAGGAACACTCATGGGAACAGGTCTGAGCCAGCCACCTTCGCTGGAGCAGACCCAAGTTGGAAACCTCTGCCAGAGCAGACCCAAGCCAGCGACCTCCATGAGAGTAGACGCAAACCAACCACCTCCACAGGAGCAGGCCTGAGACAGTGAACTCCATGGAAGCAGGCCTGAGCCAACGACCTCCATGGGAACAGGCCCGAGCCAGGGACCCCCGTGGGAGCAGACCTAAGCAAGCAATCTCCATGGGAGCAGGCCTCAGCAAATTCCCGGATTGCAGATCAAACTCTGGGAACACCAAGTGACCTCTGGGGATGCCGACTGACCTCCAGGGTAACAGGAACCATGTCCCAGACTCCACCATGAGGAGCAACCATCTAAGCCTTGAATCCAGTGGCACCTGGAAGAGTGATCACCAGAGACAGGGCCACTACTACAGCAGTCAGAGGAAAAGAGGGGTAGGCAAGGTAAGAACTCACTTAAAACCACAAAGAGCAACACGACACCAACAAAATTTAGTGACTCTAAAACAGCAATATAGATGAAGTAGAAGAAAATAACCTAAAGAATAACTTTAGCAGAACGTTTTAGGACCTTAAAGCAGAAATGAAAAATTCTCTCAAAGAGATGGAGGGAAAGACAAATAAAGAATTTGAGGAAGTCAACAAATCCCTTAAACAAAACCAAGAAACAGCACTCAAACAGGAGAAAGAAATGATCCAAGACTTGAAAACTGAAAGAGATGGCCACTTACCCAACACTCAGCAACCCAATAATAAAGCAGATAGGTGGGGATGTATAGCCAGCCTGAGCACAGCAAATGTGGCTCTGGCAGACCTTGCCCTTCGTCCCCATTTCCTCTGCCTTGATAAAATCCATTAGATTATATTCCGAAAGGTAGTCGTCAAGGGCTAGTCTCTTATTGGGCTACTTCTTCCTCCTGAGACTCCCACGATAAAGCTATCAAAGTATTTGAGTCAAGCAACCAAAAGCCCCCTTTGGCTCAACTAATTAACATGCACAATTAAAATTAAACACCTCATCCTAAAGGTGTTTCTCATTTTACCTTTATAAGCCTATGGGTCACATCTGTCTCCTCTCTATCTTAAGTCAGTCCCTTGTCCCTCTGGAACAAATATCCCTTCACTTTCTCCCTTGCTCCTTTCCCCCTTTCCTTCCTTCACTATCTTCTGCATTTGTCTCTGATTGCCTGATATTTGTCCCTCTGGGGCAAATAAATCTCTTTTGTGCTGAGAACTTGGTCTTAGGTGTCCTGAGCCCATACAGATCCCTTCAGTGGGAACCTGTGGTAACCCATAACCCAGGTAGTGATAAGTTTCTGTCGTTTCAATTGATACATAGTCAATTTGAATTATATTTCCTGATATAATTTATCCTTCTCAGTTCTCTGATGGTGTTGAAGGTTAACTGTAGCTTTGTTAGTTTGGCAGCAACAAGTAAACAGCTCCTTCTCAAGGCTGCTAGAGCAGTTCATTCCATAGGTAAAATCAGGCCTCACTTTTTTCTAGAGCTACTATGTCTCCAGCTGTAAAGACACAGTTTATCTACTGCCAGACTTTATCTAAAAAGGATAAACTCATAAAACAAGTTTCAATGTAATTTTTTACAACTCCTTTATATAAGGAATTGCTTCTATGGTGATATTCAAGATAGTCATCAGTGTGACTATGGGACAAGGCCAGTTCAGGCACCCTCTCATCCACTGCCCTGGGTTCTAGCTGGGGACATCCCCGTGGACACCTGGGAACCCCTCTAGAGCAAAGCCTCTTGCCAACCCCAAAATGGCTCCCTTAATTAAGATATCATCTTCCCTGATTCCATATCCGTCCTTCCTCCATCTCAACCATTCCACTCCCCCAAGCTCTCTCCAACCCTCCCCTTCTCCCTTCTCTCTCCCCTCTACCTTTCCTCATCCCACCCCACCCCCATGCTCCCAACTTTTGCCTGGCGATCTTGTCTGCTTCCAATTTCCAGGAGGATCTATATATGTTTTTCTTTGGGTTCACCTTATTACTTAGCTTCTCTAGGATCATGAGCTATAGTCCTTTGTTTATGGCTAGAATCCGCTAATGAGTGAGTATATACCATATTCATATTTTTTGGTCTGCGTTATCTCACTCAGGATAGTGTTTTGTATTTCCATCCATTTGCATGCAAAATTCAAGATGTCATTGTTTTTTTTTTTTTTTTTCCACCGAGTAGTACTCTAATGTGTAGATGTGACATACTTTCTTTATCTATTCTTCCATTGAGGGGCATCTAGGTTGTTTACAGGTTTTGGCTATCACAAATAATGCTGCTATGAACATATGGATCCTGAGGTAGGTTGATTCCTAATTTTCTGAGAAACCACCACACTGATTTCCAAAGTGGTTGCTTAAGTTTGCATTCCCACCAGCAATGGATGAGTGTTCTCCTTACTCCACATCCTCTTTGGCATAGGTTATCATTGGTGTTTTTTATCTTAGCCATTCTGACAGGTAAAAGATAGTATCTCAAAATTGTTTTGATTTGCATTTCCCTGATAGCTAAGGAAGTTGAACATGTCCTTAAGTATCTTTTGGCCATTTGAAATTCTTCTGTTGAGAATTCCCTGTTCAGTGCCTCATTTTTTTTTTAAATTGGGTTATTTAGCATTTTAATGTCTAGTTTCTTGAGCTCTCTATATATTTTGGAGATCAGACCTTTGTCTGATGTGGGGTTGGTGAAGATCTCCTCCCATTCAGTGTCTGACAATTTGGGCAGACTGAGAAGACAATGATAATGACACTGGGATTTGTCTCTACTGCATGTACTGGCTTTTTGGGATCCTATTCTATTTGGATGCATACCTTCCTAAGCCTGTATAGAGTAGGGAGGGCCTTGGACTTTCCACAAGGCAGGGTACCCTGCCCTTTCTTAGGACTGGAGGGGAAGGGGGAGGGAGGGAATGGGAGGGAAGTGGGAGGAGGGGAGGAAGTGGAAATTTTGAATGGTATTATTTATAAAGTAATAATAAGGAAATAAATAAATGGAATTGCTTTATGATGACTGCTCTCATTAATCAACCACCTGTATCTCATAGTAAATGACTAGATAAAAGGAAAAGGTTTGAAATTTGTGTACACTGTGAGGATCTAAGAAAATGTGTTAATATGTATAAATGCAATGTGTAAAGGTCTAAAAAAGTGAATTAAAGTATGTAAAAAAATGAAAATGTTTCAGATTTTCTTTCTCACTATATTGTTATATGAAGACAAAATGTTCAGAGTTTTCCCATTAGTCAGTGGAGTACTGATAAACTACTAATCTAATCCTGGTAAAGCAATGACTGCTATTATAGTCATGAGTTCAAATATTTACATTCCCTTTGGTTGTCTTCTAAGTATAGACTAAGTATAGACGTAAAATGTTTCTGATCATGCTGGAAACACCACTGTCCAATTTATAAATCCGTCACCCTGGACAAAGGAAAGAGTATTAATGCTTTTAGCCCAGACTCATTTCCTTGGGCTCCCAGGCTTTTACTACGACTCGACATGAATCTACTGCTTTTTCTACTTTTTGTATTTTAGTACAGATTACAAACAGTGATAATGATAATATATCTAAAACTTTTATCTGTTTTAGTAAACTTAAAATTCATGTAAGCTTATAGGAAGTCATCTCCTATAAGGATTCTCTTCTCACGGATTTCATGGACTCCAGATAAGAACTCCTGTCAATCAACAGCCAGATCTCTCTATTCTTGAGAGTGGGATCTTCCCCTTCCCTGGTCTTTGGAGATTAGATTCAGAGTTCATGCCTTGAAATGAAAAAAAAAAACCAGAAGTGCTGTGGGATAATGCTCTTGTACCCTGTAAAGATTTGTCACTTGTATTGGTTTAATAAAATGCTGAGTGACCAGTAGCCAGGCAGAAAGTATAGGCAGGGTGACTAGACTAGGAGAATTCTGGGAAGAAGAAAGGCTCAGTCTGCAGTCAACACTCAGATGCAGAGGAAGCAAGATGAAAATGTTGCACTGAGAGAAGGTACTAAGCCATGTGGCTAAACATAGACAAGAATTATTGACTAATTTAAGTAGTAAAAGCAAGCTAATAATAAGCCTGAGCTAATAGGTCAAACAGCTTAGATTTAATATAAGCCTCTGTGTGTTTCTTTGGACTGGACAGCTGAGGGACCATGTGGGACAGAAACTTCCATCTACAAATCCACCCCTTTCCCCAATTTCCAGGGCCATAGGCCTGACTGTTCCAAATGTATACCCAAGATAAAAATACTCCCCTAAACTCCTTAACTTTACCTCTACCCTTAGTCTATCTTTGGATGAGTAGTTTTCCAATCAAACGAAGACTGAAAACTGTTCCAAATTTGCAGCCCTACATGTTTCTGAAGGAATTTCTGCCTAGCCTGAGCCCGTGTTCTGCTCCAAAGCTGCCTGTACTTCACTGGCCCCAGGTGATCTCACGAGACCCGGGCAGCGAACAAAACAGATGTTCCCCCAGGCTGCACTCCTCTTTCCTTTCCAGTTCTTTCACTGTAATTCCAGCCCTGCAGCCTGCTCCCCAACAATGCCCCAATTTCAGCTCAGAAGCACTTATAGAAGAAAATATATTGTCCCATATCATCAACACAAGGCAGGAATGGTATGACTGAAGATATGGGTGACAAATGGCTAACTGATGTGCCTACTGACATGTCAAATGAGACTCCGGAGGCCAGTCTTTCTCGTCATTGCAAGTCTCTCTTGCAGAGTCCTGGCTGCTCTCAGCACTTCTCCCCTCCACCCCTACCCTAAATCTCTCCAGTCCCTGAGCTTTCCTTCCCTTCCCCCAGCTTCTCTTTATAATAGCTCAGAGCTTATAATAGAATCAGAGCCTTGGATCCTTACCAGGTTCATTTATACTCCCGATAGACCTTCTTGTGCTGCTCAGAGGCACCCCACTTAAAAGATGAGATTTTTCAGATGGTCTGAGTGTGTTAGCAAACATCCTTGTAATAAAAACATACCTAATAGGTGATAGATTTGAGACCACATGGAGAGTCGGGGAATGGAGAAAACCGGGTGTTGGGACAGGAACACACAATTCAATTAATCACTCTTATCACACAGTGAATCATTCTAATAACACTATAAAGTGTGCTAAGGGTAGGTTAGCCCCATCCAACACTCTTAGGGTGGGTTTGGAGCCTATTGCAGAAATCATATCTGGTGTTTGGTGTGGTAACGGTGTGGAGATTCTCTCTATCATACAACTCAAATGCTACCCTTTTAAACATAACCCCAAATAAGTAATGGTCTGTAAAAGCATGTGTGCTTTTGCTCAGGAATTGGCTGGCCACTTCATGACTGTGTGCAGGCACCATTACAGGATCTCCAAGCTTAGTTTACTCAGGGAGAGCATTGCTTTGAAAATGGGTCCCTCCCTCCCCTTGCTGTAATAAATCTTTCCCATTTACATGTTGACTGTGCTTATTTAAGCTTTTCCCACACCAAGATGAGTATACTATGTAAATGTGTAAGCACTTTAGGTATATAAAAGCACTAGGTAGTAGTGCATGGGGACCCAGAGCAATAGGAGATGTCAGAGCAGAGCAGGATGTAAGGTAGGGCAGGCAGTCAACTGAGCTCTGTGACAACAGATGGTGACATTTCCTCTTCCACCTCTGACACTGCCTTCCTTTCATGTCTGGCCTTACTTCTGCACAAAAATTTGAAAAATCTGCACAGGTCAGGAGCCCCAGCTTTTCTCCCATCAGCCAATCCCTTCTTCCTACTTCCCCGGCACCTGGGCAGCCTAGACCTGGTTCTCTCTTCTATTCTCTGAGAGTTGACTCACTAACCATGCCTCACACGGTGGATGACAAACTGACTCCCTTGGGCCTCCAGTCCTCCACACATCCCTGCTTTTGCTACGCTTGTCACTCCTTTGCATTACTTTTGTTCCTCCCCCCACCCAGCGCTTTCATCCCTTGTGTGGGGCATCCTCCCCCAACACACCTCCACTGCTCAACCCATGGGCTGCAGCTTCTAGCGCAGCTTCCTTTCTCACCCAGCTTCACCCTTATCTTAACTTTCATCCCAGAAACTGAACCATCCTGGGCCTTGCTATGAAAGTATGGGTGATCCACAGCACCCACACGATAGCAGGGTCTCTCACTGGGACTGAGAGGCAGCACCAAGCTTCCTCCCCACCCCAAATTCACCTTCCCAAATAGCATATGTTGAGGTCCCATTAAGTGTGAATGTGTTTAAAGACACTGAGCTCTGCACCTAAATTTGCTGAGATTGGCCAGTAAGATGGCTCGGTAGAGAGAGCCTTTCTGCATAAGCTTGACAACCTGAGTCTTAGCTTTGGAGCCCAGGAGGTAGAGGGGAAGCATCTCCACAGAGTTGTCCTCTGACCACCACACATGCCCATGTGTATGTACACATCACACACAGAGATGAATTTTTAATCATAATTTTGTTTTTTTGTATTTTACAACAGGGAGAAAAGAGGGAATATGAGTGAGAAGTTTTTTTTTTTCCTATCCAAGGTAGTCAGCCAGAAAGGGCCAAGACTCCATAGCCTACCCCATCTTTTAGAATTCTGGCATGTAAGTCTGTTTATTCTATAATGACCTTAGCCTTTGTGATGATAATTAATAATCAGTGGCACCAGGATGTAAGTAAGGTCCAGCTCTCATCAATGAGACGAGAGTCACCACTCATGCTAGAATAAAAACTAAGCAGACTTTGTGCTCCTACTTCTATGTGCTCCTTGATCACATGCAGCAAACCGTTTTGTCAAAAGAAATT